TTGGGGGGGGCAGAGGGGGGGGGTCTGAGTCCCTTCACAGTACACTTCATTTCCACATTTGTGTGAAAAACGTGTGAAAACCATTTTGCAGAGGTTGAGGGTGAAATTCCATCTGGGTCACGTCTGGACAGACATTTGGTGTTCAAACCATAAAAGGACTAGTTCAAGTGTTTTTACTTCAGTACCAGTGACCGTCGACAACCCCCCAAAGAAACCCAACAGTAACGTTTGCTTATGCAACCAGCCAATGGGATTCAAACTAGCGACCATCCAGTTGAGAGCCGGCTCCTTTAACAACATTAACTGTTTATCTGTGTCCTGTCAGACGCCTCTGTGGTTCCACGGTTGTCATGCCTACCTTACATGCAGGGTTCAAAACCACATACTTAATGGCGCCTCCTGTGGCAGCCTGTGTGAACTGCAAAGACTCACACTGTGAATTTCTCTATTGAAGGACGAATAAGGGACGTGAAAATGATATAAACGTTTGTTGCACGCTCAAAAATATATAATAAAATAAATACTATTTTTTCACGTGTATTTGTTGTTTCTGTCCAGGTTTAGGGTAAATGTGAACTCACTAACTAACTAACTAACTAACTAACTAACTAACTAACTAACTAACTAACTAACTAACTAACTAACTAACACTAACTTAATAAAATAAATACTATTTTTTCACGTGTATTTGTTGTTTCTGTCCAGGCTTAGGGTAAATGTGAACTCACTAACTAACTAACTAACTAACTAAATGTGAACTCTAACTCTGACACACGTTACGCTTTATTCCCACAACCTTTGTTTTTCCTGAAGTGAACAAACACTTGTGGAAACTGGGTTTTTGTGACGCCACCCATGTGGGTCTTACCTGGTTTTTCAGATCCAGCTTGGGACAAGGACGGCCCCCGTTGAACGCCTTCTCCCGGAGCCACCTGGAGCGGATCTTGAGGCCGCTGTCACAGGATGCACTGCAGGCGGACCAGGCTGACCAGTCACTGAGTTTACAGTCCAGGGGACAGGGGACGTGGCAAGTCTCCACCGCGTAGCCTTAAATAGGACAGAGGCAGAAAGAGAGGGGTGGGGGGGGGGGGGGGGGGGGGGGCGCGGCTCAGCAGCTGCAGTGAGGTTGACATTAATAATCTCAGACAGACGTGACACCGGCCTGAGCTTCAACAGACCTTGGTCTCTCTCCATGACAGAGAGAGCTAATGACCTGACTGAGGAGCGGCCCACTGCTACACCGTGCCAACACCCTGCCAACACCGCCTGCTCAGAGTGTTCCTTCTCACTGTACAAAGCCTTTTGTTTGGAGGATGTCAACAGGAAGACAAATAAGACAATAATGTGGCCCAATTACGACCGGCTCCAGGTCAAAAAGACAAGTCTTCTTAAAAAGATGAGGTTTTTGTTCAAAGCAGATGTTCATTTTCTCCACTTCTAATTGGTCAGTGTATGAATATTATAACCTAGTTGATTCTGTAAGATGATGTCATGTTAAATGCTGATCTGATTTTTATAGTTAAATGACCATAAGGCACGTGGCTCGGACACAGTCTTTGTACTGACGTGGTTTGGTAGAATATTTGATTTGACCCCTGTGAACCCTACCTGTATCGGTGCACAGGCTGGGCTCCACCAGGTGGCCCCGCAGGTCGACGCAGGCCACTGCCCTGTAACGCAGACCTTGTCCACATTCCTTCACCTCCCGCGGGTTCATCCAGCCCTGCACGGAGTCTGACAGGGAGTGAGCGGGGAGAAGGCAGGCCGACCAGTTCCCACAGGGCTGGGACAGATACTCCTCACAGGGACAGGCCTGGCTCTCCTCCAGGGGAAACTGCTCCTCCTTCAAACACTGCTCCTTCTTTTTGCTGCGACCTGAGGGGGACACAGTGAGGTGAGGTTAATACTGTGACACGGTCGGGTGAAACGCTGTCACGACACGGAGCAGCAGCTGAGGCTGAAGCTCTGGTTTACTCTCTGGTCACAAGGAGTCGTTTTAATAAGAAGAACTCGATGAAATATAAAGAAGAGAAGCTACAGGACTCATCTGGATCATTTATTCATGACTGTTCAGAACAGCCTTTTACTGTGTCACTAGGTGAGCAAACTTCATTAGCAGATGCAAATAGCTAATTAAACAGCTCTGATTACCTTCTGAGATGTAACAACCATCTGAAGAACCGATTCTTCCTGCGTTTACAGCCACAGTCACGTCATCAACGTTAGCAGAAAAACAAAAGCTGGGTTTGAAGCTCTGAAGCCGTTCCAGCTGACACATGACGACGGCTCGGTTCGACTGGTTAACCCTAACCCTAACCCTAACCCTAACCCTGGGAAGGTTAGGTGTCTCACATTGAATCGTACAAAAAAAACCAAAAAACATTTCACACTGATGTTTACACCACACTGTATTTTTCTGCATTTGTTTTTGGAACTGTAGAACCCACATGGGCCACACATACGGTACAATATATGGGGAGCAGCCCACAGAGGAGACGGCCCGGACATGGATCAGTCAAGAATTTGTCTGAGAAAGAACTCAGAGGTTCTGCACACTAAAAAAATATCCTGTCACGTTGGAGAATTTCCCAGTAATGCCTTGCTCTTCGTTGCACCATAAGTCAGAATGATATCCACGTTCATTCCATTCTTGTCTCCAGGTTTTTGGAGTTGATGCAAAAGTAAAGGAGAAATTCTCTGATTTGCAGTTTTTTTTCTTTCGTTCATCGTTAGAGTTCGAAACAAATGAGTTCAGTTGAGTTTTGAAGGTTTTTTTCACAGGTTTGTGGACAACAGATCTTTGGAGATCTCTTATCTAGATACAGTAAAGAAAACCACGGGGGGCTGCGAGGAGGAGGAGGAGGAGGAGGAGGAGGAGGAGGAGGAGGAGATTCAGTTTTCTACAGTATAACATATAGTTTGATTGTACAGTAATATCTGAGGTAAACTGAGGTTTGTTCTGTGTCTGAACTGAAATGTTCAGACACAGCTTGACTCCAGTTTTGTGGAGAAGGTTAATGGAACAGAACCACAGCCAATCAGCACTAAGTCTCTCATAACCAGTGGTAACCACAGCCTCTTATTAGTGAAGGTGTTTTGAACTGAGCTCCAGGAGATGATTGGAGCCACATTAAAGGGGAATTAGGAGGTTTTTTTGTTGGTGCTCTATTAATCATCACCATCAAACTTTATTATCCCAGTCGGGGAAATTTGATTATGGTCTGGCCAAGGGCACGCCACGGTATGATAACATAAAAATTCAAATTAAAATAAGTGAGCAACTTAAACGCAAGAACACATACAAATACTGACAGTAGATGCTCCACAGGTGAGTGAGCGTCACTACACCCACACATCAGGATTGACACAAAAACAACAGAACATCAGAAACCAAACCAGGTGCAGTCTGACGTGTACACGTCAGCACAGGAAGTGACAGGGTTTCAGTTCAAACCTGATCTACTTCTGCTCTCGTCTCCTGGGATCCTGGGAATTCTCCGCAGCCAAACGACGGCCCATCTGTTTCTGAAGTGGCTCTGATTGCAAACATTTCTCACAGAGTGTGAACTCACTGCTGTCACAGTGCCACCCACAGACAAGCTGTTCAAACTACACCAACTGAAGAGGGCAACATCACTTCACTTTGACAACGACTGTACATTACTGGAAATCTGCGTTTATTACAGAACGAAACCCTACACTTGACGTTGACGATATCATATTAGTGATTTCACACCGTTTTAGAATCATTTTGTTTGTTAAACTGTGTTGCAAACACTGAGTAGCCAGATTACCGACAAAGGTGGCCCCATGTGGGGTCACGAACCCAAGGTTGGAAAACACTGTTATGATACTGTATGATGACCCAGTGGAATAATAATTCATTAATTAATGTCTAATTAATTTACAGTAAATCTTTTCATTTCTCCATAAACTTGGGTGAGTATTTGTTCTGCAGCGCCCCCTTTTGTCAGCAGGACTAATACATTCACAGCTTTTGCTTTAAACCTTCACTAACCATGAAGTTAACAGTAAAAATAAACATAAACTTTTTTATTTTAAGACTAAGCTCAGCTCTATTGGGCCACATAAAATGATGAGGTGGGCCACGTTTGGCCTACGGGCCTTGGGTTTGACACACGTGCACTAAAACTATCACATCTACACTATATGATCATCATGTTTGTATGTCTGACAACAGTGACTCTGACAGTGAATTCATGTATTTTTAATTTATAGTTTTTTTTAGTCTGTGCAAAAAAACCCAAACACATTGAACGAATGTCGTACGACTGATTTTCTGGTGGTATTTTGGGTGCGTTGCTGCTCAGATACAGTTCAACACGTAGTTTGAGGGACGTTGCTGCAGCGGCTGTAATGACACCACACTGAGGTCATAAAACAGCAGCTCTGCTGTAAAATAATGCCTGATATTAAATCCACACACTGTGAAAGAGGTGGATAATAAATCCCAGAAAAACCTCTGCCCACTCGCAGCTCGCTCTTTTCTCCATCTTTCAGGGGAATTTGATGTTAAGTTAAAATACGAGGAAATAGATTTTTGCACTTTTAAGCATTCGTACGAACAGACGAGACCAGATCTGATACCAGGCAGAAAAAAACAACAGAAAAACCATAAAACATCAGCAGGTAAAACCTGCTGAGCAGCAGCATGGACGCAGGACCGGGGGGGTGAGGTAGGGGGGGTCGTCACGAACCAAAGACGACGTATTATGGAGTAAAAGACATTATTTGTTTCAAAGCCTCAACACATTCACAGAAACGTCACAATAATGTATACGATGAACATGTCGTTGTTTTGTGTCGACAGTTTCTGAGTAAAACCACATTTCTAAAACGTAGTAGTACTAGTAGTAGTACTACTAGTAGTACTAACTTAGAGAAGTATGTGTTCGTCTGTATCTGAATCTGAGGAGAAGAAGAGAACCAATCATCAGAGCCGACCAGACACGGAGCGGACCTTTGGTTTGTTGTCGGTGCATTTACGGCGTTTCTTTCTTGCCCTCAGTTTTCAGACCCATCACAGTAATGGGTAATAAACGTCTGACAAAAGACAAGTTGTTAAAAAATAACAGGCACAGCGACCAGCCAACACTTGACATCAAGTGAAAAACATCAAGAAAATTATAGACTGTACTTTCACAACATCCATTTACGGGAATTGATTTATTCCTGTTATCTGTCCCTGTAGACTGGAGGTCTTCAACCCGTGGCTCCTGAGCCACCTGTGGCTCGTTAGCCTCTTTGCTAACAGAGATGGAGCAGATGTAGCCTGACTGACAGTAGATACCAGACTGAAAGGGATTTTTAGTTCAACCCTCTACACTAACGAACCTCATCTTTCTGAAAAACAGCAGAAAAACAACAACAAGATCCTGTCGTATTAGACACTGAATGTTGTCGGATTGGAACTGACCGTCAGTTGTGAGTGTCTTTTCCTCTGAACCTCAGATTGAACATCAATTATTTTGGTTATTCGTCACCTCTCTGTACTTTTATGATATTGTAGTACTACTACAATACTTCAGGCTCCGTACTCTCGCTCACTCGACGTGTTCTTTGCTGCTGAAACGATAAAATAACGTGTCTTTTGGTGTTGGCTGTAGAACTTCAAAATGACTTTTTTATTCAGGGCTCAGAGATCTGAAACGTATCTCAGCAGAAGTCTTGGTAAGCTGCCAATTTCTTGAACTCCTGGCAGACGTGAGTGAAGCCTCATGGTGGCGCTCACTACTCCATTAAATCAGGTGACAGAGCAGCGAGTGTTTGAGCTGACAACAACAACAACAACAACAACAACAACAAAAAACAATAAAAAGAAAAACTACAGAACAAACAAGGAATGACCAGAGCTGAGAAAAAAAACCTCCAAGAAATTCATCACTGAGCAAAGACTCATTTGATTCCCTGGATTCTCGGAGCGTTCCACCAGACGTGGGCCGTGTTTACGACCGGCCTCCAGCTCTGGATCAAATATTCATGAAGACAGATTCTATCCAGGCTGGACCGCAGCCACAGCGTGTAAGTCAGATTTTACCATCTGCACTGAAATAACAGGTTGTTCGCAGCAACAGAGTTAATTTAGGGCCACCATAACCCTACAGGCCTAATGGGGAATTACAGTATCTGAGCTACAGCAGGAAATCATTTTGGACTGAACTGAGGAAGGTTTTTTTTTTTTTGTTTTTTTTTACATCGATGTCCTGAGAACTCAGACACAGCTCTTACCTGTGAGGGTGCGAGTGCGACTCCTTGAAGTGCCACATCCTGTGCACTGGGAGAACTGGGACCACGGGGACAGAGTGCAGTCGTCCTTACAGGTTACTTGACATTCTCTAAATTGAGGGGGAGAAGGGCCGGCCCACCGTGAGCACTCCGTCATATTGGCTGGTTCTCCACCCTCCCCGACACAGCTGACGCCTGCAAACACGACGGAATGTTACAGAGTTTACCAAGGACAAGAAAACGCCTGAAGGTGGCGCTGCTCTGTGGGCAATCAGCCAGAACTGAAACACCTGAGTAAATATGAGTAGTACTGTAGTACTGGTGGAGTCTGTCCTCGTCTGAAGCCAACCCCACTGAGCGTCCACTGAGCGTCCACCATGAAAACTCTATCTTGACATCAGAGCAGTGAAAGTTCTACAGCGATGTCAACATTAGACTCCACCGTTACATTAACGGAGAGTTTTAAACCAGAAGAACAAAGAATCAGCTCAGAAAACCAGCGTCGCTGTGACTTTTATTACTATGCAAATATATTCATGGCAGTTCTCAGAGCAAAAGCTACTCTGCAAAAAGAGCTGGAGTTGAAAAAAAGAGATTTTTTTGGACCATTCTCTGCTCTCTTCTCAACAAAAAGCAGTCGGGCGTTTGAATTGGTCGCATTTCATCACCGTACGAAGGAAGTGGACGTTGACTGTTGGAGGATGTTAAAAGCCAATGATATGGATGACGGCAAACACACTATTCAACCAATCTACGACACACACACACACACACACACACACACACTCGACACAGTACTGACGGGGGAATACAGTTTTTGGGGCTCAGGCGGGAATTCTTTTTGGCCGGAACGGGGGAGGGTTTTTTTTTTTTTTTGTTTTTTTTTACATCGATGTCCTGAGAACTCAGACACAGCTCTTACCTGTGAGGGTGCGAGTGCGACTCCTTGAAGTGCCACATCCTGTGCACTGGGAGAACTGGGACCACGGGGACAGAGTGCAGTCGTCCTTACAGGTTACTTGACATTCTCTAAATTGAGGGGGAGAAGGGCCGGCCCACCGTGAGCACTCCGTCATATTGGCTGGTTCTCCACCCTCCCCGACACAGCTGACGCCTGCAAACACGACGGAATGTTACAGAGTTTACCAAGGACAAGAAAACGCCTGAAGGTGGCGCTGCTCTGTGGGCAATCAGCCAGAACTGAAACACCTGAGTAAATATGAGTAGTACTGTAGTACTGGTGGAGTCTGTCCTCGTCTGAAGCCAACCCCACTGAGCGTCCACTGAGCGTCCACTGAGCGTCCACTGAGCGTCCACCATGAAAACTCTATCTTGACATCAGAGCAGTGAAAGTTCTACAGCGATGTCAACATTAGACTCCACCGTTACATTAACGGAGAGTTTTAAACCAGAAGAACAAAGAATCAGCTCAGAAAACCAGCGTCGCTGTGACTTTTATTACTATGCAAATATATTCATGGCAGTTCTCAGAGCAAAAGCTACTCTGCAAAAAGAGCTGGAGTTGAAAAAAAGAGATTTTTTTGGACCATTCTCTGCTCTCTTCTCAACAAAAAGCAGTCGGGCGTTTGAATTGGTCGCATTTCATCACCGTACGAAGGAAGTGGACGTTGACTGTTGGAGGATGTTAAAAGCCAATGATATGGATGACGGCAAACACACTATTCAACCAATCTACGACACACACACACACACACACACTCGACACAGTACTGACTAGATCAGAGTAATATTACAAGTATTTGCATTTTGTGCTGACTGAGAGTTTGTCAGTGCAGAGTTCAGAATGACAACAAAACGTCGCTCACACCTTTGGCCTAAAGAAGAACTTGATCGAGGAGAATAAAGTTCCCTCCAATCAGAATCCCAGGGTTCAAATCCCTTAAGAACATCTGTGGAGGTCAGGGGTCGCACAGGAGGGATTTGGACTGGACTGGACTGGGCTGGACTGGGCTGGGCTGGGCGGGGCTGGACGGGGCTGGGCTGGACTGGACTGGGCTGGGCTGGGCTGGGCGGGACTGGACTGGGCTGGGCTGGTCTGGACTGGACTGGGCTGGTCTGGGCTGGACTGGGCTGGGCTGGTCTGGACTGGACTGGGCTGGGCTGGGCGGGACTGGACTGGGCTGGGCTGGGCTGGGCGGGGCTGGACTGGGCTGGGCTGGGCTGGGCGGGACTGGACTGGACTGGACTGGGCTGGTCTGGGCTGGACTGGGCTGGGCTGGGCTGGGCGGGGCTGGACGGGGCTGGGCTGGACTGGACCGGGCTGGACTGGACTGGGCTGGAGTGGACTGGGCTGGACTGGGCTGGGCTGGTCTGGACTGGACTGGGCTGGTCTGGGCTGGACTGGGCTGGGCTGGGCTGGGCTGGGCGGGGCTGGACTGGGCTGGGCTGGGCTGGGCTGGGCTGGGCGGGACTGGACTGGGCTGGGCTGGTCTGGACTGGACTGGGCTGGGCTGGGCTGGGCTGGGCTGGACTGGGCTGGGCTGGGCTGGGCTGGGCTGGGCTGGGCGGGACTGGACTGGGCTGGACTGGACTGGGCTGGGCTGGGCTGGGCGGGGCTGGACTGTTTGTGTTTATTTACCTGTTCATAATCAGGTGTGTTTTTAACAGAACAAAGAGTAAACATGGCATATTAATGAGGTCAATAGTGGGAATAAACACTGTAGTGGGGGGGTGGGGGGTGGACTGGCAGAGAGGGGGCAGAGGAGTGGGCTTCGTTTGAATGAACAGTTACCACCTGACTGCTACAAACATGACCACGGGTCAGAGCAGCGTTTGATAGGAGCGTGGTCCAGCGCCTCCTCCTCCACGACAGACTCACATCTTCACATCTGCCAGGTTCCCCTCATGTACAAACATGCCTTTAATCTCTGTCATTGATTCGTATTTGACTTTTAAATTTTCTAACATGCAGCGAGCCCGTGGGAGGGTCATTTACATACGAAGCCTCCGCGTTGTCTTTTAGAGAACAGCTTTTATTGATGTGCCTTTATGTAACACAGCCAGGAGAGAAGGTCGAGCTGAGCTGAAGCCCTGGTTATCTCACGTCTTTACAAACCCAGGGGTCCTCAACCCCCGGTCAGGGGACCGCTGCCCCGTCCGCTGGTCATCTGGTCCTGGGCCGCGGTGGGACACGGTGAAAAAAGATCCTTTGACTTTTTTCATTTAAAAATAATCTGACAATGTTTCAAACCACATAGAGATGTTGGATAATGTCGGACGATGTTAGCTTAGCTGTGTCACATCAGCAGGAGCTAACTCCCGCTGAACTAACCTGCTGGAAAGATAACTAGTCTCTGGTCCAATTAGTGTGAGGATAACGAGGCGTCTCTGTTGACATTTACTTCTGTCCCGTCTTAACCCACTCCACCGGCGCCACCGCCGCGTCACTGCCCGTCCTTCGTTAGCTCACACTCATTTTTAACACCGACCCTAATTACTGCGGCTCCTTTTCGTGGCCTATTACATCATCGTCTCCTCCCACACATGGTAACAACCTCTGCCATGGTACGACTATCGACTGACAGGGATCATCCTTAATTATGCAGCTCCTTAGAAGTTTGAAGGTCTTTGAGTCACCATCACAGCAGCCTTTGAAGAGCGCTGTCACACCAAAAAACTCTTCCTCCAGGAGATGGAACAGACTTCCTTCAGGTTAAAAAATCCCCATAAATATTCTCATTAAGAAGAGCAGAACATTTGAACCCTGACGTCCACTTTACGTCCAGTTTTCCAGCCTTCATTTATAACATTCCTGTCGAGTCCTTCTACTTCCTGTGATGATCTGTGAGCTGTGACCTGGATGAACTGTGTCACAGACGTGGACTCACACGGAGAAAAAGATTGTGTTGAATCATTTCTCTGTACAATCACATCATCATTGTCAGGGAATTCAACCTTCAATTAATCTAACCTCAAAAACCCACAATGGAAATGGTCTTTTGGTCACGACCCCGTCATGTTGGGTCAGCAACGTTCGGATGGATGGATGGATGGATGGATGGATGGATGGATGGATGTACTTTACTGACCCCGGCTGGGAGACTGCAGCCTTTTCGTTCTACAAGAACCTGAATCACAGACTGAGATGAAACCAAGCACTGACTCCAGACCAGGTGACACTGACTTCAACAACACCAACTTGTTTGTGAGGTGGTTTTTAAAACCAGGCAGTAATTCTTCCATCACTCTGAAGTGGAATGTTTCTGTGTCCGTTCAGTTATGACTAAAGTCTGAAACTTTAACTGAGTCTGAGTTTGAGTTTAAGTTAACCTCAACTCCAGCTCAGTGATGTCTCTACCAGAAGTCACATCAACAAATGACCTGAAATGAAAATAACTGAGACACGTATTTGTGACCTTTTTGTCATTATATCATGGTTTGCCCTTATTCCACCCTCCACTCACCCCCCCCACTCACCCCCCACTCTTATACGACCCTCTCCCCATTATTATGTCCTAATTATGCTCAATATTGACATTTATGTGGCCTTTACAGTGAATCACGGAGTGAAAGTTGAATTAAATCTCTGCTGTTTCCAAACCTTCAGTCAAATGTCACATTATATTCATTGTGTTTTAATTGTTTTTTTTTTGTTTTTTTTTTAAAAAAAAGCTTGACAGGTCGTCGGGGTCAATGTTATCCTGGGAACGACGCTAACATTTAGTTGCAAAAAGTCACAGAATTTTAATCCAAAATGTCATATTATATTTCAACAGTGTAAATGTTAAATAATTATCATTCAAATGCCAGGAAGTCGTAAAGTTTACTGAGGAAAAACACAGTCCTGGGATTTAAAAATACTAATATAATAATGAACTCTAAAATACACTTTATCAGTGACTAATGAGGAGCGTTCATTTAATTAACTTTATCAACAAAGTCTGTTTCTTAACTTAAATGTATTACATATTTGAATGTTTTGACATTTAAATAAAAACCTGTTGAGTGTTTTAAATCAAAACACAAATGTCCATCAATTAAAGGTGAATCTTCAGGTGAAACCATGAATCTGCTTCAACAGAGTAACTGTGTTATAAATCATTTTACATTAGTAAATGATTTGTATATTTTCCTACGGTGTTTTCTTTTGTGCCACTCCACATAAAAACGATTCAGATTTGTTTGTTATAAAATGAAACTGAGAGTGTTTTTATCACTGCCCTGCAGCAGTGAGACACCAGCAGAACAAACACAGAGATCATTCAAAACTGCCTTCTTTCTCTGGTTCAACATAAAGAACTCTTTGGTCTCACTGTTCTGGGAACGTTACAGGAATCACCTGGTTCATTGGTCATGCAGCTGAGACAGTGCAGACAGTACATGAAGCCACTTGCCTCTGGTTTCCAGACCAGTTCCACAGGGTTCACCTGGTCCATTTAATCCACGTCGAATCGACTCTGGAACCAGAGTGCAACCGTGCCACTTGTGCGTCGTCCAACTACAGAAACACAAACATTATCACTGTTTCAATATTCATCATATATATATATATATATCTGTTCAGTCTCCATCACAGCGCCACCTTCAGCTCAGGTGAGGCTGACTTCAGGAGCTCCACTCAACAGCAGTTTCTTCAAACCAGACTGATTCATGATTGGCTGTTGAACAGACCAACAGATCAGACAGAACCACAATCAGAGTGAAATAATTCAGCCTGATTTAAGGATCATGACCTCTGACCTAATAAAGATCATGACCTCTGCCCTGAATGTGAGTGTGAATCATAAAAACACTCACTCATGTGTTTCTGTGAAGTAGATAAATGTGATGTTTGTCGGCAGTGAAGGAGGTGAAGTGACTGCAGTTATTACCTGAACACTGGACAGAGTGGCAGTGATTCACACTCTCTCTCCTCGTACACGGTGTCTGGACATTCTTGACCTCCATTAGCCGGCCTCTGAATGATGACCTTGTACCGAGACTGTGTGGGGACGCTTGTGTTCTCTGTGAAAGTGAAACATCATCGTTACAAAAGAGCTCGGCGTCTTACAGAGATGATCGTTTCCTCGAGAAAAAAAATAAATAAAAAAAATGATATTGAGAAATAAAAGTAAAGAACCCAAACTAAAACAAAGAAAAACCAGATCAGAACCAGATCAAACACTGATCTGGTTCTGATTCGTTCTTTGTTTTTCTTCTAACCACACTGTATTTGCTCTGTTATGTTTTTTCCAGTCTTTTGGGCTCATTAACCAGCACTAATTAGCAAACAATGCTAACGGTGTCATTAACAAAGTGATGACTTCATCATCATCAGACCACAGCAGAGTCACAGCACGTCTGCTTCAACTCCAAAACAATTACAGACTTGGATTCCCGGCCCTTAGTTAAACACACTGCTGTTAATAAGTTCGTTAGCTTCCTGACGTGTTAGCCTGCTAACTGCACTGCTACCTTAAAAACACCAGGAGCTGTGAGGCGTGAAGAGCAGTCCTACAGCTGACGTACCTGGGACACAGGTGGAGGGACAGGACGTCCACTCACTGAACGGTGTCACGACGCAGTCTTTCTGACAGGGAAGGAAACAGGGTCTGATGGTTTCTGGTCTGGAGGAATCTGGACACCTGAACAAGAGGTCAAACATCTGAATCACCTGCTCTGACAGGACGGTGTCTGATGACATCACACGTTTCACTGAAGAAGAAGTTCTCAACGACGGTGTCTGATGACATCACACGTTTCAGTTCTCAACATGACGTTACAAACCAGACCATTGGTTCAATTCCCCTGTGGTAGCTGAAGGTCCTGTGTGTGCAGTTAGCATACAGCACACGGAGCTCTTTGCTCCTCCTTTGCGCCCTCTACTGGTGTAATTTGGTACATTTTTATAAAATGTGCAGATGTATAACTCAATGAAAAAATTGACGCAGTACCACTTGAAATTCTGGGGGCAGTGTCATAGTCAGGATTTCATTCACTGATTTGTTTGTTTGTAGAAGCCAAAATGAACTGAAGCTAGTTTCATATTGACATCTTCATTTTAAATTAGCAAGAGGCTAATAAAAACCCTGTAATACAGTCGCAGCCTGGTGACATCACGTGACTCGTTACTGATGGTCTGAATGAAGAATGATGAAAAGCCACGTGAGGCTGTGTCTGACGGGCGACTCCATACATTTACACTTAAGTGAGTGATTGAACGCAGCACACTGGGCAAGTGAGATGAGTTTATGTCGCAAAAATGACAGCTCTCATTTAGGTTTCTGTGGTGGAGGAGAAAGACCGGCCCAGACCGGAGAAAATGAACCCACTGTAGACTCCTGTCAATATGAGACGGAGTTTAAGAAGCTGTGGACGGTTACAACAACATCACAGCGCCCTCTGCAGTGTTTAATCGAGTATTACTGAAAAGAGAGGAGATAATGGGGGAATTTAATCCACAGAAACAAAAAGAAACACTAAACTGAGACTAAAAGCTAAAAATAAAAAAAAAGAGATTTGAGTTCCAAAAACCTGGAAGTGTAATTTGACACTGAATCAAAGTGTCAGAGTCAGAAAAACAAATCTGAAATGTTAAATATAGTCAAGCAGCCTCTGTGGCTGAACCAGACTCTGACATAAAAGATTTATTTTTTATAATAAATAAATAAATTCAACCCAGAAATTACAAACTGACTGTTTGATAAAAAAATGACAGAGAAAAAATACTTTGGGCAAAACATTTGACAACATTTACCAGGAAAACTGACGTTAAGACTGATTTTTTTTATTTTTTATTTTTATATAATTAAGAGGAATCAGGCTGTCGGTGGGACAAAAAAGTCCAAGAGCTGGAATTAATTCTCAGCAGGTTTTCATGGTAAAGTGCGTGGGGTTGGTGAAGGTTGGCGGCGTACTACGGGAGTGGTTGAATAACGAAAAAAAAAATGAACGGTTGTCGGAACGGACTGAACAACCGTATAAGGACTGAGCTGTGTTATAGGCTTCCACTGGGTGGCAGCACATGGCTTCAAAAAGACAGAAACTCAGAGCTGTTGAAGGAGATGTTCATCATATGTGTCTTTCTTCAATTCCTGCAGCCATATCATTGTTGTGTTCACCTAAACGGGCTGAGACTTGGTCAGTGATTCAACTGTGACTTCACTAAGATCCTCATTGTTATATATTTGTGTTTGGAGAACGATGAAACACAGTTTACCTTTTATTTATGACCGGTCCAACGTTCGTCTTTACGCAGCTGACTTTCCGGATCTGCACCCCCACAGCACAGGGAGGCGCCCCCCCCAGGCCGCCTGTTCCATTGAAATACATGGAGGTATCTTGGATGCAGGGACCCCAGACCGAGGCTTCCCAGTGATAGACCACACAGGGGTGGTCATTACAGACCTTCCACTCCTCCAGGGCTGGAGCTGCAGGACACGCCTTCCCTCCTGGTCATCAACGCAGCAGGAGAACGGACAGTCAGAGAAAAGGAAAAGGTCAGAGATCTTCAAACCAGAGGGTGTAGTTCCATGGTATCAAATCAAAAGTGAACTCTGCTCAAATGGCCGTGGATTAAGGAAAAAGTGCAGAAAAATTCAAACGTTAAACCTGAATCATGAGAATCATTACAATCATTACAGAAAATCAGATGCTCAGCAGCCACACAGATGTTATTTTCCTGGCTTGGCTGAATGGACCGCTCGCAACTTTCAAACTCAGAATTTGAATTTCAAATGCAAGGTCGTGACAAGGTCACTGAGACTGCATTCAAATGCTGCCTACAGCCGTAACACGGCAGCTCAGCCACCAAATGTCAGATAATTAGTCTCCGCGCAGACACAGAGGGGACGCCTGTGGACGGGACGCCTGTGGACGGGACGCCTGTGGACGGAACCTCAGTGACGGCCGCAGCTACAGCGCGGTCAAGATTCACACAGGAAGGTGACACAGCTGGACAACATGGAGACATCACACGAGGATTTCATAACTGGACACTCGTTATGTTGTTTGAGGCTGTAATATACATCACTGTGTGTTCTGTTTATGTGTGATCTGAAGAGTGCATATATATATGTATAATTATATATACAGTATGTGTACATGAGGTTTTTGTTTTCAGATTTAAATAGCATTTCACCCCCCGACCACAGGGTGACAGTCTGTCGTAGTTGGTTTAATATCACTGACAACGACTTCAAGTTTTAGAGAAACTCGAGACTTGTTCTCAACGCCACGATTCAAGGTCGACTGAAGTCACAGAGAAGCGTTTGCGATGGTTGTGTGGCTGTAACACAGTCAGAACGAACACCTGGTCCTTGACAAGGACAACGTTACAGTCACTACAGTCACAGAGACAAACAGCAGCACAGTGTGGCAGCACAGTGTGGCAGCGGATCTGAGCAGTGAGGCTCCATCCTGAGCCGTCACCGTGGAGGTGTTTACAGTGATTACTGCCAAGACTCTGCTGTCTGAGCTGAGGCTCAGGGAACACACACGTGTTCCTGGAACCGAGAAAACAGCAGCAGCCAATCACAGGCTCCCACAGAACTTACAGCACATTTTTAACATTTTAACTTTTCAAACACGGAGGCCGTGGTACCTTGGCCTGGGACGGCGAGCACAGAGCGAGTGCGACTCTGTCGACCCTCGGACGTCTTGGTGGAGCAGCTGTGTGAGCAGGAGGACCAGGAGGACCAGGAGCCAATCACACAGTCCTCCTCACACGGGACTTCACAGAGGAGCTGCGTGGGCGGAGGGTCACCCTCACAGTGGTCAGCTGACACCTCCTCCCCTGAGGGTGAGGGTGAGGGTGAGGGTGAGGCAAGAGAGAAGGAGAACACACACACACACACACACACACA